AGGGATAACAATGTGCTTACAACCAATCAATAACATAAAGGTCTTAAGAAATTTTGAAGATTTTCTAGTCAAAATGCAAAGATCAACAAGCAATGCCACTGGATCCGCGACACTCGTACTAGCGGATAAAAGGCGTGTATAAGCTCTCAAGCATTCAAAAGGACAATTACCTGCACAATTAAAATATTTCAAGTACCCCCACACTTGCACCGTAATTTGTATACACATAGGTACACAAAAAGGGGTAATTGTAATCAAAACCCGTATGGGCCCCGACGAGCGTGTTATTGGTACACACTTGACGTCCAGAGATGCTGTGGGGGTTACTAAATTTGAACCCGATCCTCCTAAGCAGATAAAAGGAGTGGATATGGTTCAATTATAAATGCCCCCAAACACCCGCATGGGCCCCGGCGAGCGTGTTATTGGTACACACGTAACGTCTAGGGATGCTGTGCGGGCTGACAAGTGAATTCAGGTTCGAATTCGATCCTCCTATGCAGATCAATAGGAGTCGACATGGTTCGAACCATCAAATAAACATACGATTGTGGCGACCGTTATATTTATCTTAATACATTCATATTAGGCCTTCAAGGTCTATAACAATGAGAATTCACTATCAAGGGCATAAAGCCTACGAAACCTGATCCCTTATCGTCAAGATGATAGGGTATAGGGTCGACAGGGTTCAATCAATAAAGAGAAATAACCCCAAACACCCCGATGATGGCCGTGTTGATTGCTTATCTCAACCGGAGGGGTTCATAAACATTTTTCAAATGCCGTTCCAAATAATCCAAAAATCATTCAAAAATCCAAAAATGTTTAAAATAGAAAAACCATTAAATGCTTAAAGCAAAATACATCCACCATCCGCAACAGTTTGCCGAGGTGGACAAATTCAAATATAACTTCAGCTCACAAAGAGTCAAAATGCCTAGTCGAAAATATCACTAGGATCCATTCTCAAACAATCTCATGCCAATAAGGACGTGGTACATGTCCTCTAACCGGCGGTTCGCCGCCAAATGTATCTGATTGACGACTAGCCTTAATCGAAAGTTCTCTCTCGTTATCGGGAGGGGTAATTAACTATAGGGGCTTGCGCCTATAGGAAACCAAAACTCAGATCATAAAGTCCTCACAAAATGAGGGCGAAATCTCTGGGTAGTGTCTTATCTACAAACCCATCTGCCTTCCAAAATTTACCTCGGAACTTATCTGTTAAAACTCCCTCGCCGAATAAAAAGAAAAGCAAGCGGAGACCGAGGCCGAATTTTCAGAGCCCACAATGATAATTGATTTATGCCACATTATATTCTTAACACCAGCTATAATAGTTTGATTTTTATTAGTTACACACTCATGTTCAATAAGTCAGTATATGTAAAAGAAATATGATTGATAATGAAAGTTTGAGAGAAATTAACAAATGATAACTTGCACAGGTCATTAAACATTCTTATGTATTGACTATTTATGAAGGGATGCAATTTTTTCATTCCTTCAGATATGTATATGTCTATTGCTTATGACTCAAACATTAGCATGCATATTAATTGCTTCTTCTTCTTGCATCTTGAAATATGTACTATAATTGTTTATCCCATTGAGCGTTTAGCTCACCAGTTGACATTACAGGAAAGGGAAAGGAGCGAGCAAGGATCTAAACATGTAATAATTTGCACCTTGTACAGTCATTTTTAGTGTATAGTTTTGGGTGTATATATAAGGTTAATCAGTAAATTATAAATTAAAGATTTTGGATACATATAATTTTATTTGAAGTTTAGTTAGTAAAGCTATGTATTGTTGAATACAAGGTTTAAAATTACGTAATTAAGCCTCGAGACAGTTTTCGTCCATGAGGCGAGGCGTAAGCCTCAAGGCGGTCTGAGGCGTAAGCCTCACGAACACAGAATTGCGTAAATGAGAAATTAAGGGTTTTTGCAGGTAAATAATAGCAATATTCTATCTTACAATAAAAACATCCAAATGATATATGAAAATAGTGGAAAGTAAGAAAATAGATGCAATAAAATCATGTCCCAAAGTACCAAATCACAAAATATTAGTTTAACAAAACTCCCAAAGTTTCCAAGAAGGGTCACGCCGCAATGACGTATTCGCCTTTTCTTTGCCACTAACCATGTCTCCTAAAGCAAAAATTCAAAAACACACAAAAACAATAAAAAAACATAAACCCTAGATTTTCTTACACTTGAAAAATCTAACCCTAAACTAAAAAAAAATACCTAAAATTGAATGTGGAGTACTCCTAGAGGGCGGCCAGACACTTCAACTTCGCCGGAGAGAGGCGGTGCCGGCGGGAGAAGCGGAGGGAAGGGAAGCCGACGGGTGCGGGAGCTCTCTGTTTCGTGAACACAGCGTGCAGGAAAGAAATTTTCGGGAGAGCTGGGAGCCATGCGGGTTTAAGGAAGAAAAACTCATCATTTTAAGTGGGTGGGCCCGTTCCTATGAGGCGTACACCTCTACCAGAATTACGCAATTGCACCTCTGAGGTGCGCCTCAGTCCAAGTGAGGCGTACACCTCTGCCAGGAGAGGAATTGCGCAAGCCTCGAGGCGATTTTGAGTCAAATTGCGCAGAGGTGCGCCTCTTATTGCGTAATTTTAAACAGAGGTTGAATATTGTATATACTTCTGAATATTTAATCATAAGGTATAATCTAATAGTTGGATTACAGTTTTAGTGTTGTGATAGTTTAATCAGATTAATTTTCTGCTCATTCGATCTTGATGAGTGTAATTCAAAATGAATGTTCATGGGAAATATATTTGACTAGATTATCTATCTCTGATACACCTCAGGCTGACTAAAGGGGGTCAAAATGGAGTGTGATATTTTTAGACGACACAATTCATGATTGCCGACAATAATCCGTCGATTAAGTTGAGTCAACTACCTCTATTGATTAAGAAGACTAGGATCTATGGAAACCCAGGGCAATGGAATCATTGAGACTTGATTGGGTTCATCATCATTCCCCCCACCAACCACTTAAACTAATGGTGGTAAACTTTATATCATAGAGCCAAAATTTGTACCCACTATAAGCTAAGTATTTTGAGTCCAATGACTAACCATAATCTAAAGTATTCTCTCATCACTGAGAGGGGTAATAAACTATAGTGCTTACCTTTATGAGAAACATGAAATCATATCATATAATCCTCACAAACTAAATGTTAAATATTTAGGTAGTTTCTTATCTACAATTTAATCTGCCTTCTGAAAATTTGACCTGAAACCGAACTTTATCAAAATTGTTGTGCACGAATTTTCAGAGCCCAAGGCTAAGTGGTCGTCCAACGCTAGATTTATGAGCCTCCATAGATAACTTTGTAGGTCCCTAAAAAGCTTATGGGTCCTCATCAACAAGTTTGTGAATCTCCGTAAATTCCAAATTAAGTAATAGTTAAGAATTCTAACCATTTGGGACTAATGGATGGCCTATTTTATTTAGACAAATTATAATTGTTTGGGCTGGTTTCCTTTTTCCTTAAGCTCATATATGTTGCTCAGATTTTTTAATTAAGCTAATGAAAACAAACTAAACTTCTATTGCAAATTCCTTTCTTCCTTGGTGCACCCTTGAGGAATAGTTAGGGGTTTCTAAAGTAACAAAAGATCAAAGCACACTGAACATTCTCTGATCTTTAGAATGTCATGCAAGCATGCTAAATTATAATTTTTAGTGATTCTGCATTCTCCCTACTTGCAATTTTGTTTTTGTTTCTAAGCCTTAGCATCGAGGCTACAAGATTTTCTCTTGCTTTGAGAGATTCTCTTGCCTAGAATTAAGCCAAGGGGAACTCTTCTCCTTGAAGGAAGACGTTGTAGTAGTTTCCATATCAGCTTAAGGGCGAAGGAGTGATTGATAGTGGAACCCTAAGCGAGAGTGCTTAGATATAGAAGTAGGGTGGGTTGGAAAGAACTATGTTATGTGCTTTTTGACTTTACACATTTCCTTTATTTTCATATATACTTGCATTCCAATGTTTTGGTGGACATTCAGTCACTTTAGCTTTTTTAACCCCTCGACACCCCCTCACAACACCTCCCTTCTTGGGTTCTTCCTTAGCTATATAGTAAATAAAAGTATTAATGCAAAATCATGAACATCTTTTTTATTATCATTAATTTTGTTTTACATAGTGACCTTATAAATCCCTCTTCTCCATTTATTCTATACTAATATTATTTGGCGACCTTATAAATCTCTCTTCTCATTCTATCATATCAATTTTATCTTTCACCTTATCACTTTATCTACGGCTCTAAAAAATACATGCCCACGCTATAAAAAATTTATTCTCTAAACTTATCTTCACCCAGTGCTACTCATATAATTTTGTCCGAGGGTGTACCCAAGTAATGAAAGATTTTTCAATACATAGTATGAGGTGTTGATGTCCAGAACAATCTTACTCTGTATTTGCAAAGAGGCTATTTTTGCAACTTAAACATGAGACAACCATATCACAAAAGAGAACTTAATCAATATATTAGGTCATCCCCTAATAATCTCTCAATTAAAATAACTTCATATCCTTCCTAAATTTAACACATCCTTTTTTAATATTATCATTTCAAAATATCTAATTTAGATCCTTTCCAAGGCTCCTTCAACTCAAAATTCAATAACCTTCTGTAATTTTTTCCCTTAGTATACCTGTCAGAGTTATTATTGAAGTACATGCGTCTTTGAAAAAATGAATTTAATACTTTCCAACAATGTAGAAACTCATAGAGGACATGCACTTTGCTCGTAATGAGAACCCATCCCATCATTTGGCGTTTGTATACTCTCGTAATGTATCTAAACATTCTTCAATATAGCTTAATTTTTTCTCGAATTGAGTTTGATAATTAAAAATATAGGTTTAAATTTGAATCCTGAACAAAGTTTAATCCCAAAAGTGGAAAATTTTCCATTCATCCCAAAAAATAGTGAAGAATTTATTTATCACTTACCACTCTAGCTGCACTTGTAGTAATTGAGAGTCCTCCAAAGAAAAAAGAACCCCAAATAACAAACAACAAAATTATTGCGCCAATTGAGTTGTTGTACCTCCCATGAAATGCATCATACAAAATCTGTGCAGGCACAAATGATCCGGCAGTTTCATTGTTGACATCGAAGAGATAGTCAAATTTCTGCAAGACATGTTTGTGTTATCAACTAAACAAATTTACCTAGCTGATAACTTTCATTTATAAAAATGCATTTCACAGTACCTGAATGCTAAAAGTGAGAGTCAGTATGTAAGCCCATCCAAATACTGAAATTATCCCAATACTTGAAAGAATAGCAATCGGACCGTTTTTATCTGCTCCTTTTGTTTCCTCTGTTAGATGTGCTGCAGCGTCATATCCATATAAAGAATACTGACTAACAATAAATGCTAAAATTACTGCATATGCCTTGCTTCTTATCCCTGTAGAATCCGGTGCCATCTCAAAATGGCCAAAGACATAGGAAGCTGGTTGTGTAGATGGAGCCACTAAAGGAAGCATTATGACTATGATTACACCTCCAGTGATCTGAGTGTGTAGAATGAGGAAACGGCTAATCAACATTGTAGGTCATTCATATAATAACTATCAATAGTTGCAAGTTAGAATAACTTGGTAAATCCATATAGAATATGCAAATTTAAATAGTCATAAAGAGATGTAATGGCAAATAGATTAGAGAGAGTTGCCTAAGATGGTTTGGTCACATAAAACGTCATCCTTCAAATGACCTAGTTATGAAAGTAGATGTATTAAATTTGGCCTATGTTAAGAAAGGTAGAAGTAGACCTAAAAAGACTCGGTTAGAATTATTAAAAAAGACCATTTTTATTGGATTTACATGAGAATTTGACTGTTATTAGGACAAAATGAAGAAAAATGACTCTTGTAGCTGACCCCACGTAGTGGGATGAAGGCTTGATGTTGTTCTTGTTGTATAAAGAGATGTAATGAATACAAGAATAAGAACATAATGCACAAATAAGGCCACATTTAAAATGGTACCCACATCACCTTCACATATATCAGTTTATGTAGACAAAGTAACCTAGGTAGTTAATGCTATAAAAAGATGCTCTGAATTAAGAATCTCCAAGCATCCACATATATGGATCATATACCTTGCATCTAGTAAAATATCATATGTATGATGAGATTATGTTTTGGTCGAAGGTCAGATAGTTCAGTAAAATATACTCCAAGTAAAAAAGCCCTATCTTTGATAAAATATAATATCTAGTTTAATGATCTTATATATGATAAAACCTTACATTATATCTCTATTAAGACATAAATGATTTATAGTTTTAGAGCATTTGATTCTTGTATCTGGAAGGTTTTTACCTGCCACCAAATTGAAATAATGTCAATGATGGCAATAACTTGCAATGCAAATGTGTTGAGAATTGCCCATATAACAGTCAGACCAATATACATAGCAAGAAATACTCCACGAGGAGCAAAGTAACCTCCACCTTTGTTTGTTCCTGTACAAAGTAAAATGATGATTTGCAAAGTTTGCGATCCTGCATAAGCCTACAAAAGAGAAAAGGAATTAATAAGTTTCCAAAAGCAATACCTTACTGGCATTGAATTTACTACTGTGAAAGGTTGTTAAATATGATGGCTTACTATTAATCAAATCAATTTTGAATTTTAAATAAAAGATAAATAAATATGATTGTGACAAGTAGCCAAGCTGAAGATTGAAGTACTCAGTATACATGATAGGTTGAAAACATATTATGCCATTGCATTCCTCAGTCTTCCTTTATAAAAAGATAAGCTTAACTTTCCTCTTTTTTCAATAACTTATGACTGTGCAACTGTGCAAGATTATAATAGTTTGATTTCAATACAATTATTGGTGAAGAAATTGCTTGGATATCACGGACATTTTTAGATGCTCTGATTTATTTATTGGTGGGTAAATATAATGGTGGTTATTTTTATATTTGATAAATTAATTTCAAATTTATCATCTCACATCTATTAGGTTGTTGTTGACTTTTTTTCTAGACCCGATGGGCGGTTTGTGACAAGCAATTTGTGTAAAAATTTAATAAGTTAGTTGTGGTTAACTTGTCATTCCTTTTCCACAATAAGAAAGGAAAAAAAGTGGCCTTGAAATAGTGAAGATTTGTTTTCCAAAATGTAAGCTAATGAAGTAACGGGGGTATTTGCTATTAACTTAAGGCAACTGTTGCATTGGATATTTTCTGAAAGATTTATAATAGAAGAAGTAATTTATTGCATTTGCTATTGATTAAATAATCTCAAGTGCTCATGCATAGTGATGAAGAAGTGCAAAACCAAGCTGTATTTATTCCATAATTTGACTAGTACAAAATGGAGAATTCTATGCTAATTCAATTAAAAGTTTCTTAAGACAGATTCCTCACAATTTCACTTGTATACCTAAACATACTAGTTCAATGGGTAGTCAAATTACAATGTAACCATATCACAAACACAAAGTCATGTTCTGCTAATATATAATAAAAATGAAGCTCAACCTGTGTGCCGATTCCAGCAATAAGGCCAATTGTCTCCAGCCATGCACAGCACCATGAAGCAAAAGGGCCCCATAGTGGACCAGCTAAATGAGCAGCCCAGAAGTAAAGAGAGCCAGTAGTCTGTATTAGCAAAAGATAAATCCAATTAATGCCTACTAAAAGTAGTCTTTATGAATTACATACAGCCATAATAACAATTCAATCCAAAGGTTAGGTTCTCAAGTAGGCTTAACTGTGCTTCTACACCAAAAATAACAAAGAGTGGGTGCAATGTAAAAGAAGTGATGCTTAAAAGCAGGACAATAATTTATGAAAAGTGTACAAATGAACATAAGCAAAATAATGAAATGTAGGAAAAATAAATTCTTGTGGACCTTATTTAATTTTGGAAATCAAGTCTTACATTTATAAATTAGCAGAAAGGAAATCAAGTCTAGGATTTATAACATAGCAGGAAATAAAAAATTCAAAGAGCATGTTTATATATTTGAGATTTCATGAGTTAAACTTGAGCTTTTCACATTTTCTCACCGTAAGGATGGGAACTTTGGCTCCCGCTGCTGGGGCCCCACGCTTGCATACTCAACTGTGTGAATGAGTTGACAATTATCGTTCAAAATGTTCAAAAATAAATCCTTCTTTGATTTTGAACAACCCCTTGAAGTAGTGGTTTCTTGATTCTTGTATAAGGCGAAGTGGATATAGGACTTACTCTCTTTGTTTGGGCCTCAAAAGTTGCGCACATAAGAATCAAGAAATCATCATTTTAAGTGTAGATTTAATTGGGGATTGCAGTTTTACTCTAACCGTCATTATTTTCCTGTGACTGGATGGTTTTGAAAGAATTTCTCAATAAAAAGAGCAGAAATATTCAATCTAGTTCCCTTTCCAACCATGTATCTATTATAATGATCTGGTCAACAACGAACAATGATTACAATCTTTTTCTTTTTTCTTTTTTTTAAATGAAAGGAAGGAATTGATGCATCTCTCAAATCTTACAGACATGAAAAACATGAAATTTAAACGAGCCAAAAAAATCTATATTAACGACTAAATCTCAGTCAATTAGAATCAACACAGAGCTATAATCAAGCCCACATACCGGAAAAGATGAACAGATCTCAGCCATGGCGATTCCAACAAACCAAGTGAAGAAGGAGACCACAACCCATCCCCAAACAAGGCTTGCTGGCCCAGCATACAGAAGGCTTGAGCCATAAAGCGGTGTGATTCCCGTGAATAGAGTCACAGTCGAGACCGAGATCGCGAGGGTTTTGAAAAGAGTCTGTCAACGAAGAAGAAGAAGATAACAGCTTTAAGACCATTTACAATGAATAGAAAGAATTAATCTTGAGGTCAATCCAGAGAAACAAAATTGGTTGCTTGGAGCAATGGAGTTACCATCTCTCTTCTAAGTTCCTGCTTGTAGCCGAGCTCATTGAGGCGCTTCTCCCCTGAATCCATTTCCTCCATCTCAGAAATATGAGAAGAAGAGATGGAAACGTTTTCCGGAGATTGGAGAAGAAGAGATGACCGACTGCAGTCACAAGAACTACGTTGCAAGAGCAGAGAGCAAGCTCCCGCGCGCGCGAGAAGATATTCTTTCTTAGCCTGCTTTGTCCTGCTAGTTCTATCAAATATTTTTCAAACTTCAAAGTCTCCAACTCTGAACAACTTGAAACTTCAAAGTGAATGTTCATTTAAGAAATATTTTTTACGCGCTCCAATGAAAATACTTTAATAATATCTATGTCTATTATATCACGAAAAGTTTAGTATTAAGCCACCGTTTCTCGCTATTGGAAAAATGTTACGTTATGAATTAAAAACGGCGGGGAAGATCTTCCTTTCTGATTTTTTTCTTTTTGTTTTTTCTTTGCCCTTTTGGTTCTTTTGATAGATTTATTGGATGATTTTTCTCCTTTGAAATTTTCATCTAAGACGGATATCTCACCCGTAAAGATGTACGAAGTTTCAAATATTAGATTGGGCGAGTTTCTTCTTGTCAAACTTCTGCAAAATAGTTCGTAGTTTCCTTCTTGTCTCAAAAGGATAACTTGGTGGTGTTTTCAGATGATGAGGTTTTGAAGGCCTCTCAAAATTGGGGATTAACTCTGTTAGGCTACTCATTAGGCAAGACACCTTTATTTGAGGTCCTATGTTCTGTTATCGTGCCCCCTAGGCCCCCCCTTAAATCCGCCACTGACTAAAACGCAAGTCAAAAAGCGCAAATAAAACGCAGGTAAAGCGCAAGTCAAAAGCGCAGGTGACGCGGCAAATTTTTATTAGATGTTCGAACTTATTTTTCGCATCCGGTTACCTGACCCAATAATTTGCCCTCAAAATTGGGGATTAACTCTAGTAGGCTACTCATTAGGCAAGACACCTTTATTTGAGGTCCTATGTTCTGTTATCACAAAAGCTTGGAAGCTTAAAGATTCAATCTCGCTTTTATCCTTAAATGATGGTTTCTTCTTGATGAAATTCTCTTGCCCAGAAGATTTTGATCTTGTCTGGATGAGAGGACCGTGGTTCTTTTTTGGTAGACATTTTATTATTCAAAAAGCGTCGGTTAATGATGCTAAGAAGTTACAAGATATTTTGAATTATTTCTCTAAATGTCCTGGTGTTTTTGTTAATCATAACAAAAGTCTAGCTATATCTCTAAGGATATTATTGAGAAGGAAAGGATTTGTCAAGCCTTAAATATTTCTACTTGGCATAATTGTATGAAATACTTAGGCCTTCATATTTTTATTAAAAGGCTTATTGGTTCAGACTTTCAACCTTTGCTTAACAAGGTCACTGATTTACTTTTGGGTTGGAAGCCTAAAATTCTTTCTTTTACCGGAGAGTGCAATATCTTAAATTTCTCTTTCTAATTTTATTGCATATTGGATTAGAAGTATGATTATTCCTAACTTCTATCTTAAGTTCATTAGAAAAGTTTGTTCCAACTTTTTTTTTCATGGCAATATTAATTCTAAGGAGATACATGTTATTACTTGGAAAGATGTTTATAAGCCTAAGTGTTTTGAGGGTTTAGGTATTCTTGACCTCCATGCTCTTTGTTATGCTTTTATTTTTTCTATTATTTGGAGAATCTTAAATAGGAAATGTTCATTGGTTGGCTAGGTGAGAGAAAAATATATTTCCTTATGGAAACCACCCTCTTCTAAGGCTTCAATGTTCTGGAAAATCTCTGTAAGTTGACTGAGAATTTAAAGGATAAAATTGATTTTATTATTATTGTTAATAGTTTTCTTTCATTTTATTGGGATCATTGGTATGGTGGCAAGTCTCTTCATTAATTAGTTCCTACTATAAACTCTTATTGGCATTCTATTCTGGTGAAGGATGTCATTTTGAGTGGCGGTTGGTCTTTATCTAATTTCTTTAGAATTTACCTTCCATTAATTCTACTAGCATTCCTATTCATGATTCTTCGATTTCTTGTATTAACTAGAATGGGGTGTTGCTACCATAATTTTATTTTTTTTCATTTATATTTTTATACGTGACATGCTAAGGTTAATTGGTATAATTTTATTTGGCATAAATGTTATACTTTGAGGTATTCCTGTTATGTGTGGATAGCCTTATTAAATGGGCTAAAAACTAAGGATATTCTTTCTAAAAGAAATATTAGTATTCCTTTAGGGTGTGTTTTTTGTAATTCTTTTTTGCAGACTCATAATCTCTTATTTTCTTAATGTGATTTTACTTTTTCAATTATTTTTTTGCTCGTTTCTAATTTAAATCAATTTTTGCTAAGGCCTTTTTTTTCAAGTTTTAGATTTCATTTCGAACTTAAATATGTCTAATGATGCAAAAATTTATTCTTTTTGGATTCTTATTGTTTCTTGTATTATTTATGGAAAGAAAAGAATGAAAGAATGCTTTTTTGGTTTTTGTAAGAATTTGGATTCAATTTTTGGTTAGATCAAGCAGACCATTTTCTAATATTTCTAATTAGAAATATTTTAATGAGGTTAATTGCTATTTGAATTTAGGGTTTTTATTTTATTTTAAGTCTTTAGGTGGTGTCTGTTTTAGGGGATTTTGATTTGTTGTGATTGGTTTTAAGGTTTAATTTAGACAATATGTATTAGTTAAGGTGGCTCTTTTATCTTTTGACGTATATTTTTGACAATTGATTTTATAATATGGAAGATCATTTATAGTAACCAAAGCTTGTTGGAGATCTTTTGGCTAGGTTTATTTGGATTTGGCAATATGTTTTTCAAATTTTGCTGAATCTATTTTAAACTTGGGGTATCTTTGTGATCTTTTGTTTTTTGAAGTTCACTATTGTTGTCTTTAATCATTCCTGAGTTGTGGTGGTTGGTGGATTTTAATTTTGGTCTTTATGCTCTTGTTTTTCATTTTTTTATTTTTTTCTTTTGTGTTATTTTCTTTGATTTTTGTCAGTTATCTAGTTTTGGTTGAGCTTTGCTTTCTGGATTTTATGGCTTTGGAAGAATGGATAACTACTTTAGACAAGATTGTTGATTTTGAAGAGGTGGATCGTTTATTCCGTTCACTAGATCTCTCACTCTTTACTCTCAAAAATCTCTCCCATACACACTCTCTATGGTCCTTCTCTAAAGAAATTCGCAACAAAGAATAAGATGACAATTTCTAGGACTCCTTATATAGAAACTACATGAAAAACTATCCAAAAATTGAAAATTGGAAGTCAACTGACTTTTGTTTGTATTATATGTTCGTAGATTGTATGGCATGATCAATTCAAAAAATTACGGCTTTGTTTAGTTCGAACTGGGACGAACTTAGTTTCATACTATGTTAGTCATATGTATGAATTGAGATCGTACAGTGTGAATCGTTCAAAAATGAACGACTTCATATGGTATTATCTCGTACAAACTTGATTTTGTACACTGTAAGTTATCTGTATGAATTGAGATCATACAGTACGATCGGTTCGAAAATAATGCATTTGTATGATACGACCTTATACAAACCTGATTTTGTACATTATTAATTGTCTGTGTGACCTAACATCGTACAATACAAATAATTTAAAATTTTGAAGCATTGATTTGTTTAACTTAATTTGGAGAAAAAATTATCAAATCGTATAGTACGATTGAATATCATACAATACGGACAAACTTTAAAAAAAAATTACATAATTCCCCCTGTGTGTGTTCATAGTTACCCAATTACAATGACTCTTACTCAGACTCAAGAATAAATAAATAAATATACAAGCTTTATTACATGGCATCCTACTCTATCCTTGTCTTGAACTCTTCAGCAGTCTGGAGTTGTAAATGGATTCCTTGAATTGGTAGTACACTTAAAAAATAACAAGAAATATCCAATTCATGCTAGGAGAAACAATAAAATCACCAAACCAATAATATTTTGCTATCATCAAAAAGTCACATTATCAATCTTGTTTCCATTAATTTCCCCCTTTTTGATGTTGCAAAAATATTTATTGTTTGAAAGTGAATAACATTTTTTCTCTCCTAAGCTCCCCCTAAATGAATAAACCTTAAACACCATGTGAATATGAATTTTGTCCCTCACTCTTTTTTTAAAATTTGATTTTATCATCAAACACAAAATAATATACAAAATAAACAACCACAAAAAATTTTTATCAACAAACACAAAACAATATACATAGCAAACAACCTCACAAAAAATAATACAAACACCAATAAGTTTCTAAAGCATAAATAGGACACTAGACTAAATTTACAAGAAAACTTAAAACAAACATAAACATAAATAATCTACCCCTGAGAGCATTATGACATCAAACCAAACACAAAAAAAAAAAAAAAAAACTCAAAGAGCAAACAAAGCTCAAAGAACTTCAAATCAAAATATAAAATACAAATAATGGTATCATCAACAAACACAAACAACCTCCCCCTTTTGACATCAGCAAAAAGGGGGGAAACAAAAAGTAAACATCTTGAATATGAAAGTTCTTATAGACAAATGTAGATGTTGATAAGAAATAGAATTTGTAAAAAAAATTGCACAATATTAAAATCCTACTAGATTTTTAAACTTAAATTTTAAATTAAAGAACAATTAAGAAAAGAAAAGTTAACCAGGTTCAATATTCGTTCTACAAAATAGAACAATTATCACAAAAAAATAATTGATAAGAAATCATAAAATTTCAAATTCAATGTTTGAAATTATTGTTTAAAGCATAGATTTTTCTAAGAATTAGAGATATAGCTGAAAGAACTAATTGTAGTAATTATAAGATAAGTGTTGCAAATCTGATTTTATGGATTAGAATTTTGATGATAGAAACTATTGTAAATAAAGTGGTTTCTGATGCTAAGTAATCTTGCACACACACACCTTGGAAATTTTTTTTACTATTTCTTAGAGTTTACTGTTTTTGGTAACATCGTCCGGGATGTTATTTATATCGGTCTGGACAATCGGTTCAAAAATAGAAACCCTAATTAGGGTATCCTTATTAAGGCAGCCATCATTAAGCACATCGTCCTGGATAATTTTGTATCGGCCAGGACGATAGGTTCAAAATAGAAAGAATCAACCGCCAAATCTATTTAGTTATTAGTTATTTTTGGGCATCATCCTGGATCGGCCTGGTCGATCCAGCATAATTATGCCTAAATTAATCTGGTATTTAAGGAAAGCAGTTATAATTTGATTGCACGATCACATCGTCCTAGACTATTCCTGGATCGGCCGAGATGATATACTAGATGATTGGACATCAGGCAGCTCTTATTCAGGGCGATGTTCAGAACTATATTCAACGATTTATACTAATCGGCTCATCCTGGACGATATGAATAAATTTCTTCTGATCTTCCCAAATCATCCTGGCTGATTGAGCTTTTTTGCACTGATCATACAGGACGATATTAATATCGGCCTGGCGATAATGTCGGCAAGTTGAAATTAATGAGCTTGTTTTGAGCTCTTCTATTTAAACTTTGACAAGGCACTTAGGAAGTATCTTTGGCATCCATTGAGGCTTTGTTTCTTTTCGAGAAAACTTAAAGAGAGAGCTTGAAAGGGAGAGAGGAAAAGGTGGAGTTTGAGAGAGGGAGAAGATTCTTGGAGGGGGTTTCAAGGGCGTATAGAGGGGGTTCCACAAGGTTTCTCTGGCGAGCTTTCGTCTTGAGGGAAGTTTTGGGAAGAATAAGATCTCTTTGGTGTCAAAGGACCCGGCTACTCCTCCTCACCGGGGAAGGTGGAAGTGATTTTGTAAGGGCTTCTCCGCCTAGCTGTGGGGGCTAAAAGAGATACACTGAGTTTATTGTAATACTCAAAGGGTGCCTCCAAGGAGTGGACATAGGTTAAGGTTTGATCAAACCACTATAAATCTAGTGTGTTCTTTTTTTTTTTATTTTTGCATTTAATTTCAGCACTTTGATTTTCTTTGTGTGAATTTTGGTTTGGTTATAAGATTGTGTTTTTTATTGAAAGATTCTTAAAATACTAATTCACCTCTCTCTTGGTTAGCCTTGGGCTAGTTCATAAGGGCTTAACATACTTAATGAACTTCAGTAAGCACTTATGTGAACATGAAGATGATCTTCTGATATAAATACAATTTGAATTCGATTTAAAGTGTGAGAAAAAAAATTAAGGATATAACATTAAAATGCAAAAATTTTCTTAAATTTTATTCTTTAAAACAATATTTGGGATTAGTCAATAACAACTCACAAATTTCAAGAAGACATTTTTTTTAAAACAAAATATAGTCAAGTTTGAATAAAGAAGATGCGATAATTTTAACACAAAACATTTAAATTAAACTTCATAAATGAGCACATTACAATCAAACTAGAACATAAATAAAAAAAAAAACACTAATACTAATATCATGGGGGATCTTGATCTAGAGGAGGCTAAGGAGGAGTAAACTGAGAAAAAATAACTACTTGAGTGTTAATTAAATAAAATTATCCTCTCATCTAACCCATATATTCATTATACTTAAAGTCATGTTGGTCCATGCGAGTCTCAATATGATCAAAATGTTGATTAAAATGAGACTCTTGTCTATCAAATCTCTAAAACATTTCTTGATAGAAATGGTGATCTGGTCCAGGAGTAGGTGCTTGAACAAAGGCCTCTTCTTCTCCCATTTCATCTCCATCCCTTGATCCCGATGAAAAAGAATATAAAATAAAGCATCAGTGAAATAGATAGGTGGATTATTAGGGAGATCAAGATCAATAAGTTTGTACTTCTTCTCCAGAATATATGCAATCATGTATTAGTGATAAAAAGTTTAATGTCAGTCAAATTATTAATGTAGCAACTAGGCTTCATCAATAGGATTGTTTTCATTATAAAGTATGCAACAATGGAAAGCAGAGGTGTAATGTTGATCTGATCATCAGCTTTAGGAATGATAGAATTTCTTAAAATATGTTGGATGATCCTGTTATTTTAATTTAGCGCTTGAATAAGAGGTAAATATGAGATGGAAGATATACCCCTAAGAGTTTGATTAACTTCTAACCATTCAAAATCATTTATAAAAATCTTGGAGTGTGCCCTCACTCCATCAGTCCTAAGGTGTAAAAAAGTTTATAAATCTTCATTAGTAATCTTGACTCTTTAATGGAAGAAATGGAATGATATTATAGTATTGTTTTTCTCATTCTCATATTTTCAAGAAAGTAATAGAAGGTATCATATTGGAATGCATAAATCAGAGTGAGAATGAAGAAAAAATGGGTAGAATCAAAGAGGTTCATGATTGAGAAGTTAATGTCTTCTTGAATAAGAAGATGAGAAGGGGTAATTTTGGCTTCAACAAACCTATCATAGGCTTGTTCATTTTCTCTCATGAGAAAATTATCATCTCATTTGGTACGAGATGAACTCCCCTTGGTTTGGCAAACTCTCTTACTTCCACTATCCATTTGAAAAGACTTGGACACACGAATTGAAAATGAAAGGATTCTGAAGAAATTCAAAGAAATGCTTCTAATTTAAAGAAAATGAACGATTTCATATAGTATAAAAATAAAGTCATTCATACGATCATCAAGTTCATGCAGACAGTTAAAAACTATCAAGAGCAGTTATTATTGCTGTGAAATGACTTTTAGTTAAGTTATCTTTTTGAGTTTCATTTCATACGATCTTTGACCAGACTGATCATATAGATTAATATGTGATCATTTGGTACAATCGATTAATAAATATTGCACCTATCTGTTGAGTTCATCTGCATGCAATTTGACAATTGAATCGTATAGACGAATAGGTGTTCATACATATGATATTTAAAAAATAATTTACCTTGGAAAGCCTTACATGTTCGTACAGAGGAATTATTGATGATTCATATAGACAAACAAGGGTTCATTTTATATGATCACCATAAAAAAAAAAAAAATCAAATCTTTCATCTATTTAACTCAGAGAATAGATCATGTAAAATCTAGATAATTTGTACAGTGCGATTATGGTTTGTACAGTATGAACTGAGAAAGAAATTTTTTTGATTTTAACATGATTACCAAGATACTTTCCCAAAATAATTAAAAATATGATCTACATCATATAATAATAAAATAATAAAAAGATTAATCGACAACAACAGATAGAGAAAAGTCAACCGAAAAGAGATCACAACAAAGAACAAAACACAATCATAAACACAAAGAAAATACATCATAAACACGATTTGAAAAATTATGATTATCAGGCATAAATATCAATAACACTCAATCTGGTTATTAAGGTATTGAAAGTTTCAAAAACAAAAGGTTTTGGGAAATGTCTACAAGTTTATTTTTTCTTGCTACATTATATAGTTCAATTTCATCTTTTGTGACATGATCCTTAATAAATAATGTCATATGTCTATATGCTTAGTCCTATAATGTTGAATTGGATTCTTTGAAATGCAAATGACACTTGTATTATCACAAAAAATTGGAATAGTATCAATTGAAAAACCTAAATTAATGAGTTGTTATTTTAACCATAGAACCTAGC